CGTCCGACTGAAGAAGGAGGCCTTCAGGGATTTGTTATCCCGGGGGACTCCCGAGGCAGTTGCAAGGTACCGACAGGCCCGAAGGGCAGCAGCCTCATCCGTGGCCGAGGCAAAGCAGCGGGTGTGGGAGAAGTTCGGAGAAGACATGGAGAAGGACTTTCGGGCGGCACCAAAGTTGTTCTGGAAAACTGTCCGACACCTCAGGAGGGGGAAGCAGGGAACCATCCAAGCTGTGTACAGTAAGGATGGGACGTTGTTGACCTCAACTGATGGAGTGTTAGGGGCGTTGGAAGGAACACTTTGAGGAACTCCTGAACCCGACAACTCCGCCCTCTATGTTAGAGGCAGAGCTGGAGTATGACGGGGGATCAACACCAATCTCCCGGGGGGAGGTCACTGAGGTCGTCAAACAACTCCACAGTGGCAAAGCCCCGGGGGTGGATGAGATCCGCCCGGAAATGCTGAAGGCTCTGGGTGTTGAGGGACTGTCATGGTTGACACGTCTCATCAACGTTGCGTGGAAGTCGGAAACAGTACCGAAGGAGTGGCAGACCGGGGTGGTGGTTCCCCTATTTAAAAAGGGGGATCAGAGGGTGTGTGCCAATTACAGAGGCATCACACTACTCAGCCTCCCCGGGAAAGTTTACTCTAAGGTACTCGAAAGGAGGGTCAGGCCGATTGTCGAACCTCAGATTGAGGAGGAACAATGCGGATTCCGTCCTGGTCGTGGAACGACGGATCAGCTTTTTACTCTCGCAAGGATCCTGGAGGGGGCCTGGGAGTACGCTTATCCGGTCTACATGTGTTTTGTAGACTTGGAGAAGGCGTATGACCGAGTTCCCAGGGAGTTACTGTGGGAGGTGCTGCGGGAGTATGGGGTGAGGGGGTCTCTACTCAGGGCCATCCAATCTCTGTACTCCCAAAGCGAGAGCTGTGTCCGGGTCCTCGGCAGTAAGTCGGAGCCATTTCCGGTGAGGGTTGGCCTCCGCCAGGGCTGCGCTTTGTCACCAATCCTGTTTGTAATATACATGGATCGGATTTCGAGGCGTAGTCATGGGGGAGGGGGTCTGCAGTTCGGTGGACTAAGGATTGCACCACTGCTTTTTGCAGATGATGTGGTTCTAATGGCTTCATCGGTCTGCGACCTTCAGCACTCACTGGATCGGTTCGCAACCGAGTGTGAAGCGGCTGGGATGAGGATCAGCACCTCCAAATCTGAGGCCATGGTTCTCAGCAGGAAACCGATGGACTGTCCACTCCAGGTAGGGAATGAGTCCTTACCCCAAGTGAAGGAGTTCAAGTATCTCGGGGTCTTGTTCTCGAGTGAGGGAACAATGGAGCGTGAGATGGGCCGGAGAATCGGAGCAGCGGGAGCGGTACTGCAGTCGCTTTACCGCACCGTTGTGACGAAAAGGGAGCTGAGCCAGAAGGCAAAGCTCTCGGTCTTCCGGGCCATTTTCGTTCCTACCCTCACCTATGGTCATGAAGGATGGGTCATGACCGAAAGAACGAGATCGCGGATACAAGCGGCCGAGATGGGTTTTCTCCGCAGGGTGGCTGGTGTCTCCCTTAGGGATAAGGTGAGAAGTTCGGTCATCAGGGAGGGACTCGGAGTTGAGCCGCTCCTCCTTCGCGTCGAAAGGAGCCAGTTGAGGTGGTTCGGGCACCTAGTTAGGATGCCACCTGGGCGCCTCCCTAGGGAGGTGTTCCAGGCACGTCCAGCTGGGAAGAGACCAAGGGGTAGACCTAGGACCAGGTGGAGGGATTATATCTCTTCGCTGGCCTGGGAGCGCCTTGGGATCCCCCAGTCAGAGCTGGTTGATGTCGCCAGGGAAAAGAAAGTTTGGGGCTCTCTGCTGGAACTGCTACCCCCGCGACCCGACCACGGATAAGCGGGAGAAGATGGATGGATGGATGGATGGAGTTTACCCAACAAAGCTTTATAAATAAACGTGTACCAATGACTGAGCCTCTTTACAGTAAGTGATGGCAAACCTGCCTTGGTATACAGAGTACAGTGATGAGTAAGTGCTTTACAATTTGTGACAAATCTCAGTGCGCTGTGATAGGCGGCATCTAACTAGTTCAGGCAATGGGCAGGTGCATTCATATACAACAAATCACCATAGTCCAGCACAGGTAAAAAGGTCACAGTGACTAGCTTTTTCCTGGCTTCAAAAGAGAAACAGGACTTGTTCCTGAAACCTAGCCTAACCCTCAGCTTTTTAAGCAGGTTATTGACATGAAGTTTAAAAGTAAGACAATCATCAAGCCAGATACCAAGGTATTTATAACTGGTAACCACTTCTAGTACTTGTCCTTGCATAGTAACAATATCTAAAACAGGCTCTGGTGTCTTTTTAGCTTTTGAAAATAGCATTACCTTGGTTTTATTAACATTTAAAAGAAGCTTTCGTTCAGAGAGTTGAGTCTGAATAATGTTAAAAACAGCCTGTAATTTAACACCAGCCTCCTTAATGGAGGGACCTGCACAGTACATTACGGTATCGTCCGCATAGAAATGTAAAGTAGCTTCATCCACATTTTCACCTAAACTGTTGATGTATATGGAGAATAAAAGTGGACCTAAAACAGAACCTTGAGGAACACCATTAGCAATGTTTAACCACTCAGAAGACAGCCCATCAAAGTGAACACATTGGGACCTTTCAGAGAGGTAGTTCACAAACCAACCCACTGCATGGCTGGATATGCCGATACTGAGTAGCCTCTGCTTTAAGATGCGATGATCGACGGTATCAAACGCTTTGGACAGGTCAATAAATAGAGCTGCACAACTCTGCTTATTATCTAAAATACTCGTAATGTCATTCACCACTTTCATTGTCGCAGTGATGGTGCTGTGTTGCTTTCTGAAGCCTGACTGATGTTTAGACAGGATATTATTTTTACATAAAAACTCCTTTACCTGTTCACTCACTAGGCGTTCGAGCATCTTCGCCAGAACTGACCATTTAGAGATTGGCCTATAGTTATTTAAAATAGTTGCCTCCCCTCCTTTTAGCAAAGGCAAGACATAAGCTGACTTCCATACTTTTGGAATTGCATTTGTGCTGAGGGAGAGGTTAAAAAGAGAAGTGAGAGATGGAGCAATACAATCTGCAGTTATCTTTAAAAAGAAAGGTTCTACGTTGTCCGGGCCAGCCGGTTTCTTAGGATCTAGCTTGGTTAAGGCTTCATGAACAACATTAAAACATTATAAATTACTTTTGAAAAAGGGCAGGTGATCAAGACCCTTTTGGGGTCTACCTGCACAGGGCAGATTAGCACTGCACTTTATCATACATTACTAAACACACTGAAACTACAAGAACATTTAATACAAATCGATGTTGGTCTCTATATATAATGTTTTTAAATACAGTAAACATCCTAGCCTCCCACAGCCAGGGGACAGGGGCTAAAAACAACTTCTGCACCAGAAGGTAAGGGTATAAACAAAACGAAACAAAAGCACTGTACCCAACTGCCTGCAAGTTTGTGACAGCTGACTGCATGGATTCCTACACAAGCTCCAACACCAGGCACAGTCCCTGTCTCATTTATCTGCTGCGAAATAAATCAGGCTGCCTTCAAGTGCAGTTGGAAATGTTGAGATCTTTAAAAAACGCTCTGGTGGAAAACTGTACAATTTAAATATAATGTCTCCTTGTGCTACATTGGGATGTTAATAGATAGTCACGTTTATTTTTTATAAATGCCTGACTTCATTCCACAGAATCAAAGATTGCTGACCATGATGACAGCAGAGGTAGATTCACTTATATTCTCCTGAGACATTGATCTGAGAGGATCAGCAATTGTCTTTCTTTGCAAAGACGTGTATTTCTGTTAGGCTTCATCAAATTGCAGAAATGTAAGGGATCTGGGGAATCAGGACTAATGGATACAGACAGTTGTGAATTATCCTCACTGTCATGGTGATTTATTTAGTTTTTCTGTATCAAATGTGCGAGTGGGAGCATGTAGTGATTAAATCGAAGAGGTCCAAGAATCCAACCTTGGGGCACTCCACACCTACACCAACTCAGAGTCAGAGTTGAGGGTCCTTTAGGTGTTTGCATCATTTTGGAACTGGGCCAGATGGACCAACCCATTAACTGACCTCTCCAGTAGAACCAACCGTGGCAAAACAAAAAAAAGACTGTATTTATATGCAGCACTGCTCTGTGCTGTGTCTATGCTATGATGACATTGAAAACATGATTGATAACCATCAGGATGTTTGATGTGAAATGGTATATTTGAGACAGGCCTATAGTTAGCAAACACTGTTGCATTATTTTCTGAAAGAGCTTCTCGTTCTGGCCCAGGTGTCTTGCTGGTATCCTCAAGTGGCAAAAAATACACTCTTAAAAATGCTGGGTTATTTCTATAAACACATTGCTGGGTTGATTTGGCTGGGTCATAATTATGGGTTATTTGGGTACTGTAAACACACTGGTGGGTTGTTCATGCTGGGTCAAAGGGGTTATTAGGGCTTCAATTGCAGTTGAACACCCGCCTGGGTTATTTTTAACCCAGAGGTTGCTTTATTCATTTTCCCACTTCTGAATCATTCTGGAATCATCTTTTTCAAAACACAAGGTATGTAACCGATATTTTACATATATTTATATAATTATACAATTCTGTAACCTATATGTTTTTAATGAGTTGTGATAACAGTTCAATAGGGATCTGTAGGCATTTAACAGACTGTGCAAAGTATAACATTAGTAGTTAACGTCGGCTACAAATGTTTTACATTTCTGTCAATGAGTGAAAGAGCCTTGAATTTACGTTGTGATGCGATGAATTATTATTTTACAAAGACGTGTGTTCTACTAGTAGCTATAAATGGGTCTGAACTATAGCTTTGGATTTGTGTGCAAAAGTATTAGATGTACAATAAGGCAGTATAAATCAGATGGCTTTTACGTCACAACTCTCTTTCCCAGCATGCAGCTCGGGCGCGGGCTTTCACACACACGGACAGACGACAAAGAAGCTCATTGATGTAGGTAAGTTTAACTAGAGTTATTTATTAATTACATTAATCATTAAAGTTAGCAACTATTGAAGTTATTTTTAGGAGTGAGTGACCGGAGTCACCGAACCACATAATGTAACATTTTAGTTCCCTGCCATCGACGTGTTACCATAGGTTAGCTTAGCTTAGCACACCAACCAGCTAGGTCGTGTCAGGGGCAAATAATAATAATTCGTGAATGATTAAAATGTCTTCATGGAGAGATTTGGCAGACCCCATGTAGTAACTGTACATTAGTAGCTTGGTATCTTACAATACATGTTAAAACATTGCACAGTTTTGTGAAATTCTAATGTACTTAATCTGATTTGATTCTAGTAGAGGGTTTCCCCATGGACACGTTTGTCACAGAGACGTTGACTGCATGGCAGCTTGAGAACTTGATTGACACATTTAAAGGTAAGTTAATTTTTATTGAGACAATGTTGAGATGTTACTATTAAATATTTTGTTATATATTAAAAAGAGCAAGGTAGGGCTGCAACAAACAACTAATTTGATAGTCGATTAATGAAACGATTAATCGACTATTCGGACTATTACTGTATGCCTTGCACAATTTGTCAAACGCTCTTATTTAGCCATCAACTTTTAGATGTAGCTTGAGGTTGTTTTAGGCATGTGGAAACTAACAATGAAGACAATAAAGATGAATACTTGATTCAAAAATACATATATTGTTACATTAACTAAATACATTTTGAACAAAATTAACATTGCTTTTAATTTAAATTAAATAAATAATATTTCACATCAAAAGAAACAACAGTGTTTTAACAAATGGTATTAAATAATGTGATGACAGAACTGTAAACAGAATAGGTGAAACTTTAACAAACTAAATAACTCAGTTTCCTCTAATAAATAAAATAGCTTTTGAAAATATGTGCATCTTAAAAGTGCTTAATTTTAGATAAATAAAATAAAGTGTAGCAGCAGCTTGAGTTTCTCTTTTTCTTTGTTAACCGTTTCACATCATGACTTAACAGTTTCAGCCGATTATAGAACAATATCAGTCTTTACATCATAACAATTGAACAGTTTAAAGTTTCTCTTTCTTTCCCTCTTATATTGCAGTCCCTCACTCGCTTTTTTTAAATTCAGTGTGAGAATTGAGCTGGAGCTTGTCCTGCCAGGAGTTTGTAAATCTGGGCTGACATGGAGTCAGGGCCATTCTCACACACATGCAGGTGCTCATTGGTTACAGTGATGCAAACACAGGTATGGTGAAAAAAGAGAGAACTATTCGAAGCAGAATTAAAACAGCGTAATATACCATCTGACAAAGGCCTGTGCTATAATGCTTCAATTAACTGCTATTCTTTATAATATACTCAGATCAATAGGAGACAGAGATGTTAAGTCATAAATGAGTGAGCCGCATATGAATTATTCTGTGAACATACACTTTCAAACAGATGAGATAAGAAATGTCAGTGAAGTAAATGTACGATGTTGCTGTCCAACACTGGCTATCACACACCTTCAACAACAACCAAGGAGTGCATGCGGTGAACAGCAGAACTCAAATGCACTTTAAAAGCGCATCACAATTCAGTGTTTAATTCATGGATTTGAATCGTCATATATTTGTAACAATGATTACTGTCTCATCTCATCGTTCTTTGACAAACTTCTACTGTCTATTTTAACAGGCCATCCACAGACACAAAGAAAGCCCTTGCCGTGGCATTGGTGTATGAATTCCCTTGCCTTTTGGATGGTACAGGCAGTGGCTATGTAAGTTAATCAATCAACACATAAAGGAGAACACTCCATACACACACACCTAAAATAAATGTGCTCAAACGTGTTTCCTAGTGCACAGTCACACGCACATTTTTGGATTGCTCCTTAACATCCCATGTAACCATCTTCATGGTTTACGCCAGGCCAATGTAATCTGAATCTAATTTTCTCTTTTACAGGGAGCTTGGTACACACCTGGCCGAAATCACAAACCTGCTACAGGTTTCCTGGAGGAGCGCTTGAGGAACGTCAGGAAGCGCATGAGAATGCTGAAACGACCACGCCACCAAGAACAACAGAAGGAACAGACCGTCCCTAGTACACCAGGTAATACTAATAACCAATATTAATTATCCCCGCCAGGCTAGAATAGACAAATGCAAGGGATTATATTTTAGGTCCCATGACTCTTCTGTCCATCCATCTTCTAAAAGCTAGTCTCAGGCACCGATGGACCGATTGGCGACTTTTCACACACTCTCCCAAGTAGGCCAGAACCCCAAATGTTTGAAATCAGCTATAATGAATCTGAGGACCTCTGTACTTATCATTCAACAGAATATGATGTGCCTCCTGAAAAACTTCTAGAAATGGTTGAATGGATGAAGGTCAATAGGTATCCAGTGTCCCAAGTTGAGGACTACATGAATCAAACAGCTCTACATAGAGGCAAGTGGATTCGCAGCAATGGATCTAAAAGCCTCCCGGAAATCTTGACTGAGTTCCCTAGGCTTTTAGACAATCCTGGCATGGTAAGAAATTATTTTGCAATTGCGGTTTTGTCTATTTGAATGATACTCTATTTGTGTTAGGATTTGAGGTAAGGCAGGACCCAAATGCAGATTGAGGAAAAGTGGGTTTCAAAGTGTAACAAAAGGCGAGCTTTAATTACAAAAAGTTGTTGACATTGACAAAACAAAACCATGAATCCATAAACAGGTAGCACAAGGTAGCATCCAGCCAAAAACGACACTGACAAACATGGAGGGTGACAGGAAAGACAATGAACCGACAAGGAACACAGGGGAAGACAAGACTAAATTGTATTGTCATACTGATATTCTGTACAAACTGTGAAGTCCACTGAGACAAATGTAACATTTGTGATATTGGGCTATATAAATAAACATTGATTGATTGACTAAATACAAAGAGGGGTAATCACAGGGCAAGACACAGGGAGGGAATGCAGAAACACAAAGGCAATAGGTGAATACAATCAGACACAGGAGGGAAAACACAGGAAGGAAGAAAAGACACAGGTGAGGAGGGAGGAGAAAACACAGAGGCACAAGGTGAACACAATTGGGTTATCAGGCAGGAGGGAACAGAGACAGGAAGCAACAGACAAGACGGGGGGGGGGGGTGAACACTTTTCAAAATAAAACAGGAAACCAAAAACAGATCTAGACAAGACAAAACACAACACAGACAGATCGTGACAATTTGACTGATACTCTGCAATGCACTACAAGTTTATGTTTAACCACTTAGACCCTACAGTATATACTTTGTAATAATTTAATAATTGACCTGTTGAAGTGACACTGGCTGTCAAATTGTCCCCTAACCCTTTTCCTAACAGGTACTACAAGCCCATATCATTTCTTTAAACACTGTTCTATTGTTTTTCATGTTTTTCAAAATGTATCAGATATCACAAGACTTCCAGCAGCTTCATCCAGAGGCAGTGGGAAAACTGTTTCAGAACTGGGCTACTATGAGTGACCAAATCCTTACATATGCCCAGCGAGAGGGAAAACTGCCCTTGGTGTTTGATGACATGACACCAGGTAAGCTATTTCTTACTATGTAACACACACACACCGGTGCTTTGAAAATAGCAGATGTACATGCTTGCATTGCGTCCCAATGAGACTCGTTGTGAGCTTGTGGATCTGCAATTCTTTTAATATTTTAACAATCATCTGTATGGGGTCCCTTGCACAACATGTTTTCGGATGGGAGTCTGTTGACAAATACATAAATACATGAACAAGTTTGTGAACCACTTCATTAGATACCTTTTGTCTTTCTTTGATTCCTGCTCCCCCCCCTTCCTTTTCTTTCTCTTTCTGGAAACAATCAAAACGATGGAGCTTGCACAAAAACAAATGTCACCCACTGTTTTACACCTGTAAACCTGTGATGTGACAATAAAGATTCAGATTCTGATAAGATGTCACAACACTTCCTGTGATTATAATAGGCTATACAATTCACGCCTTGTTTTTACCATTCAACACCAGGGCAGAAAAGTCAATATTGGTTCAGAAATATCAATCTTTATATACTATTTAAATGTTGATGTTAATATGTATTTTTCTTATATTGCGTAGACCGAGCTTTGAAAGTCCTGCCGACTCTGCTTCCTCCATCGGTCTACAGGATTGGAGGAAAAGTCCACAGACCCACCATAGAGGAGTCCTGCAAGTCCTTCATTAATATCCAACCAGTACGTTTTACTTTTGTTTTTCTACTTCAATAATGGTGGGTGTTTCTGTGTTTATATACTAGCATTTTCATACTTCAATAAAAAAGATAATAAAAACAACATGCTTAACTTAAATGGCAGGTTATATTGCAAGTAACTGTTGTGTAATTAACAGGTGGGCACCAACATGGTACAGTACCTACAGACAGCAGAGAGAACTCAACCCTTCCCGCACATCTTGTGTCTTGGTGATGACATGACAACATGCCAGACCTTCACCATTGTGTCAGAAAACGCCATTGAAACGGACACTTTGCTGGGTGCAGTAGATCTGTGTTTTAAGGCTTTCTTTGTGTTTGACCTCAATTACACAAAGCAGTGTCTCCCCACCTGGGAGTTTATCCAACAGGCAGTATATAACATTGATGGACATGAATCCTCAAATGTCAAATTTATGAGGACATCAATTGCAGCTTTGGCCTAAAGGTACACAGAGAGAAGTAGCCTTTTAGTGATGTGTGTCAAACAAGTTGACAGCTGCTCTCTAAAAATATGATTGACACAAAACATGATTGCAGAAGACAGTAGGCACACACTTTAATTGTGTCAAAACATTGACCCGCGTTTACAGTAGCTACTATTCCTGTTAATTCATTTATTTTAATTTAATTTTTCTTACTTTACGTGATTTAATTTACTTATTATTTACTTATTTAATTTACTTCATTTATTTCATTACCTTGTTATGTTTGTGTCTGTATATAGTTTCTGCTGGGCAGAGAAATGTTTTCTCTATATTTAAACATGTTCATGTTATTTATTTAAACCTGAAAGAGAAGTTGGTCCAGATAACAGCACTTTGTAATATATCATTTGTTTTAAGGCTCTTTGTTTTTTTTGGGGGGGGGGGGGGTTGAATTTGTATTGTTTGCATTGTTCTTTTATAGTGGCCTGAATGTTGACGATTTGCCAAAGATGTTCAAATTATGAATAAATGCATTTTTATATATATATATATATATATATATATATATATATATATATATATATATATATATATGGTGTGTTTGGAGATTATTCATTACACTATTATACATTATTATTATATTCTATTTAGCCCAACAATATAGTTAATTTCAATCACTAGCTTGGGTCAAATAAACAACCCAATGTATGGGTTAAAATGATCCAGCCCAGCATATGGGTTAAAGATCAAATGTAAAGCTTTTTGTATAATTGCCAGTACAATCGAAATCATATAGCTACAACACTATCTAAGATATTGCAGTATTAAAATCGGCGATAATATGAGTCTGGCAATGCGCAATATTAATTTTGTTCAACCCCCAACACCAAGTCCGACGATTTATTTTCTCCGCCGCTCCTCCGCAAGATGGCGGCGCGTGACGTCAGATGTGCCAAATATATTTCCACCTGGCTTATCAATCACAGCAGCTTCCGCCGATAGTACAACTAGTTTCGTCTATCATGTCTGATTCTGAGTAGACTAAAAGCTTTAGGAATCCAAACTATAACATATAAGTACCCTGTATCAAGATTGATGCAAAACAAGTGAAATTTGACCTTTTTAGAGAGGTTTAGAAAAAAAGTCCAGGCGCTCTGAATTAGCCCCGAGCGAAAAATGCTCGCAGCGGCTTCCGCCGATAGTACAACTTAGTTTCGTCTATCATGTCTGAGTCAGAGGCCACCCAATATCTGGAGTATGTTGTCGACATCCAACCATATCTATACGAGCCTCTGATGTCGAAGAGGAAATACAAGGAAACGTCACCTGATATCACCGATGAAAGTGCTGATGGCGATGATTCAAGTTCGCCATCTGAGGAAGAGGCCGAGGGTGCTGAGAATTGGTGTAGATGTGGAAACTGCCAGACCATGCCTACAAGCCGAGAAAACAAGTGCTGCCACAACTATGGGAAAGTGAAGGAAGAGATGGGAGAAGAAGTCTGCATCACCGACTGTAGGACGTTCGACATTTTCCGTTATGAGTGGAGGAGCGATGAATGAGCTGCAGATAAACTACAATGCTAACAGTGAATTAGCCCCGAGCGAAAAATGCTAACCTATCACTCCTAGCGCCCTTATTACTTATCCTAGCTCCACATCCAACACATTATTTATGATCGTAAAGACACAGAATCTAACGGTGCCCACCTCTGTAAGCAATAAAACTGCAATTATGTTATCTGCGTTATCTGCTGTGCTCCGTGCGCTTTGAAATCTAATCAAAAGTTGTTTACCTCAATTCTTTGGCGTTTCTGCATCACCCGGCTCTTTCGTTCTTTCAGGGGTTTCTTGTGCTGAAATGTGGAGGGGACGGCTCCGGGTTTCAGCCTCCGACGTGCTATTAATGCTTCTCCACCAACAGACTTCATGATAGCAGGATCAACGTCGTATGCAGCACACGCGAAGTGGTCAGAACACAACTTGCTCCATTTTGTCGGTTGCCATCCAACACGATTCACTAAAAAAAATCCATTTTTTGCGGATGATTTGGTCTTTGGGAAATGCATGTAAAACTCTCCCAGATCCCGCACCGTTCGTACAACAAAAAGCTCAACAATAACCCATGTTAATTCAGTTTTCTTTTCAAAAAACATGTGACCGAGACTGCTGAGTCGGGATATTTGGTCCAGAGACTGTTTGGCCACTATTACGTCACGCGCGCGGAGGCTGCTGGGAATTACATGTCAGAAATTCAGACGGCTTTGGGTCGAGTTTTGGATCAATAAAAAGCTTTTTTTTGGGTTTATTATCTCGATTTAAATTTTAAAAAAAATACTGGCAGTCTTAAAAACAACATTTCTATAAAAATGTAGCATATTTGGAAGCTTTGCATTTAATCTTTAAGACAACCCAGCGTGTTCTGTCCTATAGTGACTCAGCAGCTGGGTTATGATTGGGTTATTTTTTAACCCAGTAGTTTTAAGAGTGTAAGCTCTGATCATACAATAAAATCATATTTTATTCATATGATAAATCAAAGGCTAGCTGGCTTTTCTCATAAGAAAACATCTTTTTTTGGGGGGATTGTATTGTTGTATTTTTATATTTCTGTTGTGCAAACTTTGTACATCTCCTGGTCTATTTAGATTAATGTTGTCTTTAAATGTCTGTGTTTTGAGAAATGTACATTCAAAAGATCCCAACCTTACAAAACAATATGAATCACACTCCTGTTGGTTAATGAACTTTGGCACCTGGTCTAATGTGTTATGAACACACATACAAACAATACTCTACAGTGTAAATTGTATAAGCGCCTTTATATTCTTATATATACTTAATGTATAACTTCACTGAAAAGGTGCCAATGCAGTTTACACATTAACTCTTGAGAGTGTATGGAGTGACTAGGCTCTCTCCCCCCCTCCTTTCCCTCCCAGCATCCCTTTAGCCCTAGCGTTGTGAATGGAACAAGTTTATTCAGCGAGGGAGCCTATTAGTCCACGCTCGCTCAAAGGTCTCTGAAAGACCGCCCAACAACCCATGTCAGCACATGAAAGTGAAGAGTGAACCCCGGGGGCAAAATGTGTGTGTGTATCTGTGTGAACTTTTGTGTGTGTGCTATTGGGGAAGGGTGCCTGCACTTGAACCGGCTCCATTCACACAGGTTAGGGGGTCTTGTGGTCTTAAATGTGACCATAGCAGGGCAGAATGACCTCTGCGGGGCCGGCCTTAATCCTCCTCCTTCTTCTCTCCCTCCTTCACTGTCAAAAGAGGCTCTGACTTCCCTTTCTTTTCTCCTCTCTGCCCCCCATATCGTTAAACAGGCTTCTCACTGGTCAAGGAATGTTCTAACGGTCTCTGAGTTTTGCGAGGTTGCTCCCAGCACACAGGAGAGTCAGGGAATGTAAACTGATATTTGGTGAGGTCAGCACCTATGAGGGAAATTCGATTTTTTTCAAAGCCATATAGATAAACCAAAGTTTATCTTAAACCCCTCCCCCCCCCCCCCCCGGACTCTGGTTTTCCCGGTCAAATTGGACCGGCCTGTTTTAACTGCTCTTATCACCAAATGTTATTTACCACCCTTTTAAACTGTAAACAATGTCACACTACTGGTTTACATGAATAACTTCAGTGGATATACAAAGAAAGTGTATTCTGAAACTAGCATGGTTGTGGATCTGTGGGTGTGTACTATCTGTTGGATGAACATAATGTTTACCTATTTTTGACCGGGAACACCATAGGTGTTACAAAGTAGACTAAAGCACTCGAAATGCAATGAAAGTGCTGATCAGCAATTGTATATGTTCAAATGCCTACTGCGGAGGATAGCATAAGGCCTTGAAGCAATCAAATGTAAAACACTATATTTATGATTGATGAAAGTGGTGAATCATCAGATTTGACCCGAACACGACAGGAGGATTGAGCTTACATAGAGGGAAATGAGACAAAAAGTTCTCCATTCTCTTCTTAATGCGGAAGGGACCTGTAGAACGTCATGAAATATCACTCTACGGTGAACCTCTAATGCACATGCTTTGAAGCCCCCTTTCTCCCCTCTTACTCTCTCTCTGTCTCACACAAACACACATACATACCCTCTTTATCCCACTGCACCTTTAAAAGCATTCCTGTCTTTCTCAGCACTAACAATTAAGAAACCAATGACACAAGTCTGCCATAACAAACCATCTGTGTCACAGAGCCTTTAGAGCCAGGCAGACGGACATGTCATGGATTATTTGAAATAAGTATTGACTGGGCTCATTTCAATGAGAAAGGGTCAAATGGGCATGCACAACCACTCACAATGCTTTAAGATGACAACATACTGTTCCAAGATCCAAAGTTATACATCATTAGATGAGTTTGCTGACCCTGACATTTCTGTCCACTTCCAAAGGGGAGGAGGGCAAACCCTCTCCGGCCAGGTTAAAAATGTTTCTCTTACGATGCTGCACATCCCTCATCAACGATGCTTGTGACAGAGGATAGGTGTGTGTGTGCCACCCTTGCTAAAGTTCACAAATATTACGATATTATTGTATCATCAGGAAACGTCCTATTGATAGCATGTACAGGTGTGCAGTCGTAAGGCAAGGCAAGTTTATTTATATAGCACCTTTCAACACAAGGCAATTCAAAGTGCTTTACAAAAAATGAAAGACATTAAGAAAATGGCATTTAAAATCAGTCATTAAAAAGAAAAGATAATACAATAAACATTAAAAGAAAAAATACATGGATAAAAGTTACAGTGCAGTTTAGTCTGGATTTAAAAGTAGTCAGAGTTGCAGCGGACCTGCAGGTTTCTGGGAGTTTGTTCCAGATATTTGGAGCATAATAACTGAACGCTGCTTTACCATGTTTAGTTCTGACTCTGGGGACAGAAAGCTGACCAGTCCCTGAAGACCTGAGAGATCTGGATGGTTCATAATTTAGCAGGAGGTCAGAAATGTATTTTGGGCCTAAACCATTCAGTGCTTTATAAACCAGCAGCAGTATTTTGAAATCTATTCTTTGACACACAGGAAGCCAGTGTAAAGACTTCAGAACAGGAGTGATGTGATCCACTTTCTTAGTGTTAGTGAGGACTCGAGCAGCGGCGTTCTGAATCAGCTGCAGCTTTCTAATAGATTTTTTAGTGAGACCTGTGAAGACACCATTACAGTAGTCGAGTCTACTGAAGATAAAAGCATGGACAAGTTTTTCCAAATCCTGCTGTGACATTAGTCTTTTAATCCTAGATATATTCTTTAGGTGATAGTAGGCTGATTTAGTAACTCTTTTAATGTGACTGTTGAAACTCAGGTCAGAGTCCATGACTACACCTAGATTTCTGGCTTTATCTGTTGTTTTGAACATTGCAGACTGAAGCTCAGCGCTAACTTGTATACGTTCTGCCTTGGCTCCAAAAACCATTACCTCAGTTTTATTTTTGTTTAATTGGAGAAAGTTCTGACACATCCAGTCATTGATTTGTTCAATGCACTTACTCAGTGTTTGAATTGGAGCATAGTCTCCTGGTGAAATGGTTATGTAAATGTGGTG